CGTAGATCTGGTCGAACAGTTCACAAAAATGTGTTAGAAAATTTCCTTACCACCTCAAATTCTCCACTTATTAATAAAAAAAATTAATTTGCTCGACTTTGCCTAATTTTCTAAATAAATAATGGCTTTAGCGAAAAGAGGTTGATATGTGTAGTAAATTGGCAATCAGTCTGAAATTTGGATTTTTTTTAATATCTTCCAATTTGACAGATTTTTTCTACCCCTTTTCAAGTAAATAAATTTACATTTCGCCATTTTATGCAAATGAAGTTTTATTTCGAGTAACTCAAGGCATTAGCCTTTAAAATTAAATAAGGATTTTCGAAGTTATGATGCTTCCAATGGAAAGTCGTGTTTAAGGCAAAAATAGAAAATTACTACTGGTCCATTACTCGTTATTACTTAAAAATTGTGGTAAATTCCAAAACAATGTGGTAGATTTACATATATATGGAGTATGCATTAGGGCGGGTCAATTTGTATGGGAGATTTTTCGACTATGCGAACATAGCACAGAAGGATTCTATGTGTAATCCTAAGAAAATTTGCCGTAGAAACGATGTGTCTAAAATTAATTGTGAGTTTTCCAAATTGCAAAAATAGGTTTCTTAGCATTTTGCTGTAATGTCGTAAACTATTTAGTCCTTTAATTTTGTATAAAAATATGCTATAAGGGTTTTGGTATGAGGAGTCCATTTCCGCACTTAATTTTTTCTTAGAATTTGCTTGGAATTACACATAGAATCCTTTTGTGCTATATGCGCCTAGTCAAAAAAATCGCCCATACAAATTGACCCGCCCTAACGAATGTCCTTCATACGCCGAAACATATGAACTTAGTTTTGAGCTGTAGATTACGAATCTGTGTTCGGGTTTTCAAAATCAGATCATTTCCCCAGGATACTTCAATTTTTATGAAAAAAAAATAAAAAATTTTATAAGCAAAAACTAAAAAAAAATTTACAAATTACCACATTTTTTTGTTAATTATTTTCATTTGTTTTAGGGACGGTTCTTTTACAAAAAAAAAAAATTAAGCTTAAGCGTTAAATAAATAAAAAAGTTGTAAATGGCCAAATTAAAATGCGTAATGACTTTTTTTGGATGAAACGTGAGCAGGAAAGAATGTTTCTCATACTCCATGGACTTGGCACAATACAAACTTAAAATGAAAATATCAGGAGAAAATTACCTGATCTTGAGAAGCAGATTATATATTCGCAAAAACGACTTATATGTTTTGGCACTTGTTTGTGTCATTTTAGCGTTAGCGTAATTTTATAGACGTGCCATTTTATTTCTTCCCCGTGTATGTTTTATATCCAAGGAAAAGCTTTAAATCGGCGTTGGACAGAGCCTATGCTCGCGACAGCTTTATCAACGACAGTCCCTTGCTGGCCGTTCAAAGAGTTCTCTGCACAGCAAGAAAAATTACTTATTTTTGAGTTTTGAGTGTTGCCGTTTTAGTAGAATATTATTTAGATTATACTTTTGTAGGTTGGCAGATTTTGCTAGAGATTTTCTTTACTACATTCATTTAAAAGAAACTACAAGTTTAAGCGGAATAAGAGTAACACATTTTAAATGTATTTCACAGTAAAAAGATTTGCTGCCGCTTTCATGAAAGCAATTTAAATGAAAAGTGATTGTTTTTCTGTCAGTTTCCATATTAAGTTTAAATAAAAAAATAATTTTTCAATAAAATTTCTTTCGTGAAACTGGCGAATAGTTTGTCAAACAAGTAATTTTTACATAAAACTACATTGAAATATTCAAAGTTCAAAAGTTCAAAAAGTTTTATCAAAATTTTCAACTTTTTATTTAAAATTTCTAGAAAATTTTCGAGTAAGCAGTTCATTCAATTTTAGTAAAACAAAGCGCAGTTTTCAAGTTGCTAAAAATACCGTTGATTTTTTAGATTTTTTTGGTCACATTTGCTTGCTTATAACGAATAAGAAAAAGAATTAATTTTAATTAATTAATTTGTTGAGCCTCCATAAAGGCATGTGAACCGTCCAATCAGCACCAAAATTTATATGTGATACCTCGACTATAGTGGTATCGATTTCGGGTATTAAATGAATATAAATTTTGTTTAAATTTGTTCACTCTCCATTGGGGATTTTGACCTTTGCCACCTGTGCGATGCGCCTTAGCCGACTCCATTAGGGGTCAAAATTTATCTCGACTTCGACCTTTGTGAGGGTGTGGGACTGAAAAAAAAAATTTCATTTGATTTTAGAGACCGGCTATGTCGAAACTCCGAAATTTCAAGCTCCTTTGAAAAAAAAAAATTGAAGTAAGTGAGAAAAAGTAGAGAAGAAGTTTTAATTAAGTATTATTTGTAAGTTTTTGCATATGTTAAAATACCATTATTGAGTTATCGTGTGCACTGCACAAACTTGTCTACCGGCAGACGCTACTTTAAATCCATTTTTGAATCTTGGAAGCCCAAACAAAAATATTCTAGAGGCCAATTTTCGAGATATAAAAAGTGCCATTTGAAAACGTAATCGTACCAAAATAATGTATTCCACGCTTTGGGCAGCCATTGTGCAATTCGAGCAACTCTGGTTTTTTTTAAGGCTGAAACGCAGTGGGATGATGGGCGAAATTGTATTTATTAATTACCAAATTCTTAGTGTAGTAGTATTTAGAAACTGCATCTTTGTCTATTTCGATTGATGATGGATAAGATAACTGGCTATCTATATAATAATTTAACGTTTCCTACATTGATTTGTAGAAATGATTTGATTGTTAACTGAACTTTGGATCGTAGATTAAGGATTTGTGCGCCAGTATTCTTGATCAGGTAATTTTCCCAATATATTGCCATTTAAATTTTGCTGTGAGAATGAAAAAAATTCAAACTTTAACGTGAAAAATGTTACTCATACGCCATGTACCATGTACCATATGGCGTATGAGTGATATTATTTCCTGCTCCTATTTCATAAAAAAAAATATTGTACATTTTCATCGCTTTTACTTTGATTTATAGCTAGAGATTGGCCTTTAGTACATATGAAAAAAAAAAAATACAAAAGACTTTAGGTTTGATTTTTTTCTTAAAAATTAAAATATCTGGGGTAAATTAC